GGAGTGTGTTTGTGTGCTGCCTTTGTACACCTCAGCTCCTTTGCCTTTTTAGTTGTAGCTAATAAAGGGTGCTGAAGAGAAATGAACATGAGTAGTATGTTTGTACAGACTTTTAAAATACTATCCTGTTCAACTTCAGAAACAAAAATATTTAATGACAAAAGCCATGGTGCAGTACAGGTGCCTGCAGAAAATTTAGAGACTAAATTCATTAAAGCAGAAAGGAGAAATTTATTACTGAGTCACAGTTCTTCAGAGCACAGAAGCACCTGGATAACACAGACTACTGAACCTCACTCTCAGTGCTGCCCTAAGGCTCTGTAATTACATTTCATTTTTTAACATTTTCCAGAACCAAGTCTTTATTGTGCTTGTCCTTTTTTTAAAATTTATTTTTTACTTTAATATCCTTTGTGATTTTAGGAAGCCACATCAATTTTTGAAATTTTTCTCTTTGCTGATCAACACATTTCTTTCGCAGGCTACCACAATCATAGCTTTCTCTCTTAAAAAATAAAATAAAATGTCTAAAGAAACCTATTTAACATGAGCAGTAAATATTACAGGAAAGAGTACATTACTCGAAGTTAATTTTGCACTTTTTTCCTTTTGCATGTTTCATAGGTTGCTGGTGCAGATGCGCTGGAGTTAAATTTATCATGTCCTCATGGTATGGGGGAGAGAGGCATGGGCCTGGCCTGTGGGCAGGTAGGACTGTAACTGCAATCTCTTTCATGTCTCTTCAGCAATCCTGCACTACCGAATTGAGAGTTACACCTCAGGGGGAAGACACAAGCAGCAGATTACTAGCTAGAGATCTTTAGGTTGAATGCGTTAAAATATTTAGTGCTGAAAGGGAAAAAGAAAAAAAAAAAGAAGGCAGAAGTTGAGAATATACAAAATGTTTAGTTTTGCTGAGAACAAAAATGCATCATGTATTTGACAAGGAACAAGATGAAAACAAATAATTTCCAAAAAGCATTTGGACAGAATTTGTTGGTTTCCATATAATTGCCCTGTAGGTATCTTTTAGATCACAACCTGGTAACTACTGCATATATCAATAATGATTTTGAAGGACATGAGATATACACACATTTCACTTCACAATGTTTAGCATATGAACCTAACTGTATTTTAGAATCACGGAATAGTGCATACATTCTGGTAGTGCCACCTACAGTTAACATCTTCTCTTATAAGAGCCTGTGTTCTGTAACCTGTAGATCTGATTATGGTTTATACAGTTTAGGTTGGAATTATCCGTGCCTCATGTCTCTGCTGTGTAGAAATCTGATGCAGAGTTTATCAATACAACCTGTGACTTCAGTTAGGAGAATGTGTGTTGTTTTGCCCATGAAGAGAAAATAAACATGTACAAAAGCCAATTCTCCTGCTAATAGCCTTTTGAAGTTTTCAGAGTTTTGAATGCTTTGGTCATGGTTTGAAATTTGTTTTGGCTCTGAAACATGCCCAAATGTGGTGAACTCAGAAGTCTCTGAAAAATCTTGGTTCACAGTCTACCGGGAGTGATTTTCTAGAGTTTAACCATCAAAGTTTCAGAACTCTGAAGCCTGCTTGATTTCCCATCTTATTATGTTTTGGGGAGAGGGGAAAAAGGAGGGGGATGAAGAGTGGGAATCATTACATGCCCTAAAATTGACACATACTATTCAGTTGATCCCCTTGGAGAAGGCTAGTAGACATCTTAATTCATCCTTACTTCCTCAGTTAAACACAAAACTTTTAAGAACTGAGGTGTGGTTGGATAACTAAACCATTAACTTTCTAAAACTTACAGTAGGGAGGCAATAGGAGCTGTAATCGTTTCAGTGCACTTCAGGTGCATCCAGTTCTGTCAGGCACAGGGCACAGGATGTTTTATTATTTTCTGTGAACAAAATGATGTTGATCTGTTCCATGCTATAGATTAATATTTTTAATGAAAGTAATCTGGATGCTTTTCGTGGCCAGTGGTCATTTACCAAAGTTGTGATTAAAAATGGGAGAGAATTATAAAAGCCCTCTGGGACCACACTAGCAAAATAATAATAGTTATTATTATTTTTTTCCCCAAAATTGCATTCAGCAACAAAGAGCTATAGTAGCCATTTTTATAAGTTTATGAAGCAATTCCCACCCTTCACTCTGCAGAGCATAACTCTGTAGTCTGGGTTGTCCCCACCTGAGATGTCAGTGCAATGGGGAAAGGTACGGGTTGGTCAGGGAGAGCCCTGAAGGTTTCACACAGAAGCTGAAACAGGCTCCTTTCAAGTATGCTTTTTTTTTTTTTTTCAGGCATATGTTATTTCCAGCTTTCACTGGTTGGAATAATATATGCATGTGAAGTTGCTTAGATGTGTAGTCAGTAGGGAGCTGTCTGGCTACATGAGTTTTTACATATCTTTCAGCTATTGTAAAATCAGAGAACCAAATGCAAAATTTGAGCACTCAGGGCTATCGTGTGGATTTGTGACTCTCCTTGGAGGAGATCAGATCTATAAAGCAAGAAGGAGATTACATTATATATACATATATGTTTGTATAATAATAAAATTTCTCTCTTCCCCATACAATATGGATATTCTTTTGAATGATTAATATATAATACTCCTGCTTAAATATATTCCTGTGTTTTCTTAACTGTCTCACCAAAATGGGAGCTCTGAAAATAATCTGTTTCTAGACAAATAAATGAATAAAACAAGCTTGTTGTTTTACTCAAGCTCAGAGTTGGCTAAAATTAAATTACAGTGGCTTTAAATGTAGTTCATTGAAGCAAAGGGTGAGGATAAACGGGATAAAGTAACAATACATGCGACAAGATTTATCAGTAGCCCTTCAGGGGGCTTCCACATGTGTTGGCCCCTGGAGGTTCCATCATAAGACAGGGAAGTGCTAAGAAGTATTTTGGCTCTACTCCTATTTTTATTTTTTTTTTTCCCCAGAGCTGAAGTCAAATAGGTCATACATAGGTGGTGTGGAGAAGAGAGGGCTCAGATATGCTCCAGAAAAAACTCATCACTCGATATCTAGAAATCGGGGCATGAGGCTTTGAGAGACAGAGCAGCTTTCTTGGTTGTACAGTGAAGGAGGTTTTCCTAAATCTTTTTTATACCATAATCCACATCTTCATAGGTAATTTTTTTAAGGATTAGGTCCGTTTTCATGCCTAACCATATTAAGGCATGTGAAACTACAGAAATTGCTGAGATTAAAAATAATGGCAGAAAACATGTATGTGTATTTTTACTATTTATAATGTCTAAAATGTTCTGCCTACTCTGTTGTTGTTGTTTAGAAAAAAGGAGAAAGGAAAGGTTAATTACACTGTCTACTTTTTCTCCTCATTTCCATTCCTATGGTGTGCCTAAGGGTAAGTGTAGAAATCTGGAAACATCAGATTTGTTTTTTTCTCTATCCTATTTTGTTATCTAGTCTCCCAACACTTCCACTGTTTTATACCCAGTGTAAATTTTAAAAATTTCAGATATATCCAAATTATATATATTTACATAAAGAATTAGTACAAAGCATGACTGTTTGTTTTATTCTAAATTACAGTTCTCGGCTTTTATTTGAATTTAATTCCAAGTCATTAGTGCAGACACTCTGGCACCCAAACAGCATAGTTAGCCAGAGGGTAATATTAAGAGGTATCTGTATTGCTGCCAATAAGTTACTTAAAGCTGGTTCTGTATAAAATGTCAATTTTATTTACTAATGCTGATTAATGGTAATAAAGTTAAGGTTTGTATGCTTTCATAACAATTTACAACTGTATAAAAGTTGGATATCGTTAAAAATTGTAATAGAATTTCCATCATTAGGTTTAACAGCACTAATGCACAGATTTTCTTTGAATCAGATAATGGAATTGTACAAAACATTTAATAGTAAACATAAAGACAACTTGGTGAACATCAGATTACTAAAAAATGACAGTATCACTTTCCCACTGTAGTTCATTACTGTAGCAATTATAGCATAAAATTATGAAAGTAATAAATCAAACATCTGAGATGGTAGCACTCACATTTCAATATAACTTGTGGTGTGTTATTTGTGATGCACTTTTTGTCTCTTCACTGGAAAACATGCAAAGATGTTTTTAATTTTTTTTTACTTATCTTCCTAAAAAGTGGCATTAAATATTCATAACCATTACTGTAATGTGAAATCAACAGATTTGACTGTTTGGCTTTTTGGTTTTGCTTGAAAAGTCAAGAAGTCTCTCCAGTTGCTCTGGTAAGAATTAATAAA